AGGGGGGGGGGGGTAAAAAGAGGAGGGCGGATAGACACAAGTTTGACATACTTAAGACAAAGACCACAGCAATTGTGAGTTGTTTTAAGCAGCTGAGGAAGGAGCATCTCTCTGTAACTACTTCATCACAACAGTACAGGAATTTGATGCCGCATGTGGAAAAGAAAACAGAGACTGTAGGACGTAATCAGCTCTACTGACAACTCTGGATAGTGTAGACAAGAAGCAGCAGGAGACCAGAGCTGCAGGAAGCCAACATACCATCACTAACTAGATAAGGCTTCAGGAGGGAACCTCCAAAAACACACCAAAAGCTCTTTCAACTTAACGCAAGGGAAGGAGGGGAAAAGTAACCCTGGTGCTAGAGAGGAGTCAAGATTTGAAGGGATAAAGAGAAACCTAAAAAGGACTTTGTTTCAGTGTTACATGAGAACGTGTGCGTGGAGGACTGACTGAACTGAAAGCGGCTTTGAGAAGAAGTGAGAACCGCAGCAACAATCTGGAGGACGAACAGCAAGAGGTCCACCTAGCCCCACAGCACAATGTGAGTACAAGTGCAGCGGAGTCCATCAGGCACATTTCAATCATATTATTATGACTCAACCACGACTTCTTCATACAACCGAGTACAATGAAAAGGAGCTAAAAGATTATATTTACTACTAATATTCAACATAAAGCAACAAGTGCAAGAGGTCTGCGACACACAATTAACTATTGCAGCTGCTTCGTTCCAGACAATAGAATAATAGAACGATAGAACAATAGAAAATCTCCGTTCAGCATTCAAGCATGACATTGTAAGAACTAGCTGAGCATTTTCATGATGGCATGCACACTATAGAGTTTAGAATCAATCAACAAGATGCACTGGGTGACTACATGCCACCGTGCAGTAGCTACATCACCTGCATTGCACAATATTCCCTAATTTGTAATTCCTTAATTTGGATCAAACAATGACATGACGTGTTACTCAAAGAAATGCTATTCAAACAATAATAAGAACAGTGAGTAAAATGGGTGGAGCACCTAAATGTATTTTCAGTAAGGGGTGCAATGAGTCACCTCACACACACATGTGTATGTGCGCATACACACTTTCCTGCCAGTCCTTCCTGCATGACCTTCAACCTTGAAACAACACTTGAGACAACAATGGGAGACAGACGTGGAAAATAAACAACTCAACTCAAGCAGCCAGGACAGCCTCATAAATAATGTCTTCTACTGTCAGTCCTGATATTCAGTGAGAGTGAAATAGAAGCGCGATTTGGGCTGTTTCTTTTTTTTCTTACATCGCCTCAATTTCAGCTTCAAGTGATCATTTGCCCAATAAATACCCCAGCATAGCTAAGGAGTGTTTCTGCGCAGAGAAATCCTCATCTGTTTCAGCAACAGCAGCAGCTTGTGCTACATTAGTATTGTTATTATAATAATGTAACCTGTCACACACCGCCACCAATACAGGTACAGTCCTCCTTTGGTCCCTACACTTCAGCAATAGATTCTCACACGTCAGAGCATCCGGGAGCTAACCGTACCAGTATGCCAAAATGGTACTTTAGCAGTAAAGATACGCTGTGAGCAAACAATTTACTATGAGAGATTTACCCCCATTGCAGTACAACACAATCATTTTCAGATTAACAGTAAGGATTGTGTATGTGAAAGCAGTCATGTTGACTAAAGGGAAAGACTGACAGGTTGACTATCTCTACTGGGATTTTTCCATTAGTGTACTTGTTTTGGGCAGCTGACCTGACCCATTACTCAGAGATCCGTCGTCTGGCTGGGGCATCACTGTGTCCTGACCTCTGAGAAGTGAGGATATCCTGTACCAGACACAGCTGCGTACCACATAAAATCTGTCGTAATACAGAATGAATGCAGACTTAGGAGGAGACCTTCCATGGATGACCTGGCCTCACAGTTCGAAAATATGAGCTTTGAAAGACCTTTTAGTGACACCAACCCCCAAATGTTACATTATAAAACAAACAAAAGGCAAGGAAGTTAGTTTTTCTATGACATACCTAACACTATAGCAATACTGGAATACCTTTTAGGCTGATGGTAACATCTGAGAGAGAAAATCTGATAATGATATATGGGCTATTATATGTTGTTTTCCATTAACAATAACAAACTTTTAATAAGGATTATTAAGTTTGTTTTTTTCTTATTTTGTCCAAGATGTACAAGAGTACACAACATTTTATAGTTAAAACATTAAGTTTTGAATATATCAACTAAATGTATAGAGGCGGATCAATTTCAGCATCACGTTTTGTTCTAATGTTAACAGTGGCTGCATTTGAACTGTCTTTAATACAATCTCGACTTAACCCGCAGGCATGACAACACATATGAACACAAGTGCACGTGCAGACAACACCCACTAGTACACAAAAAGACTTTGATGCCAGTTAGCCTTCATCTCTCTATTACACAAACTACATATAGCAATTATGGGCCCCCTTCCTTTCGGCCAATCAGCTCTCTGATAATCATCACCTCACCAACAGCATCACACAAGGCCAGCTTCCTGATGGATAAAACCTCTAACCTCTTAGTGAACCCAGAGCCAGCAGGCCTTTGAAGAGTGGAATCTTAATGCACCACACTACAGTAAGGTTGGATGCAAATGTTTGTTTTTGGGTTAGTTTTTTTTTATTATTTAAAAGATGTCAACACAGCCTCTGGGATATGGAACAAAAAACAATATTTCAGCAAACATTAATGCATACATAAATTGAACAAAACCAAAAATAGCACCCCAACAGGCATGTCAAAAACTGTCATCTGATGCCAATTTTAAAGCTTTTCAAATTCTCTTTAAACCTTGTGCAAACACGCAATAACCATGGGTTCTTCTAAGCAGGGGTTCCCAAACGTTTGCATTCAACTGTACTCACTCTCTTAAGATGTGTTTTCCACAAATATAAGCTCCAAACATGCTAAACAGGAATTCCACACTTCTGTACTGGCACAATTCTGTCACTTGAGTCTGATCAAATGTGTACGTCTATTTCACATCGATACGCTTTCCTGTCCACAGTTCACTATGAGTATGACTGGTACTCTAGAGAAGGGGGCCCACCACCAGGCCTTGGACCTGTCCGAAGAACTGCCGCCTCATCACCACCACCATCACCATATCAACCACCTCCAGCATCTTCACCACTCCAACTCCCTGGCCTCCACCACCGCTGTGGGTGGAGGAAGAGAAACACCTTCACGTGTGGTCGTACCTCCTCCTTATTCTGCAGCCGAGAGCGGTGGTGGAGGCAGTGACGCTCCTCTGGAGCTGCGGGGGTCCCTGGACTGCTGGGCCTGCTCTGTGCTGGTAACGGCTCAGAACCTGATTATTGCCACGATCAATGCCTGCCTCGCTGGACTGGTGTTCGGGAGCATCCTGACGCCCGCCATTGTTATGGTGGTGTTTGGCTTCCTCTGCCACTCTACAGTAAGAAAGGGGGAGACAGGGGAGAGGGTGGATGAATGAGTGCAAGTTTCATTTTATTTGTGTGGCCAGTGAGAAGTTCACTAGTTTGGACAATTTCTATCCCAGCTCCAGGATTTGCATTTATTCTGTGAGAGAATTTACTGAGTAAGAGTAACCTCTCTGCAGTAATGTGTTGGACAACTGCAACTGGACAAAATGTTCCCCTGGTAAATACTTCCATAGTATATTATCAGACAATTAACTTGTTGACATTAAGTCTAATATTTGCGCTCACAAAATCGCAAGATGGATGAGCAGTGATGGTAATACACCTCAACATCCGACAGACAGTGAAAACAGTTCTCTTTGGCGAGAAAGTGAAAATGCTTGCATGTGGGGAAGGATAAATGTTTACACACATATTTGCTACATCTAAACAAAAGATGAGTGGAACAGCAAGATGGCTACATCTATCTTTTTGTGAAACATCTAGAGGTCCTAATCTCATAACTTTGATCCAGAAGTTTGAAATAGTTGTGCCTGGGGCTTAGGGTGGAGTTTGGCTCCATCAGTGATGAGATGTTTTATAATCTGATAAGTCTGAGGTTCTCTCAGATGTTGAGGAGATGGGTGAACGGGAGGGAGTGCAGGGAGTCAAGGGAGCCAGATGTACAAAAGTTAAACACTGCTTGGTAGCTAGTTGGGGATTAAAGGATGCTTGGAATGGAAAAAATAAGAAAATGTACTGAATGTGATGAGAACTGCTAGAAAATATTAAAGACGATGTAACGCAAACAAAATAACCTACTTGACCCAGTAGTCAGTAGGATTATCCAGGGCTACCCCAAAAAGTCATCATGGTTCAGAGACTTTTAATGCATACCGATGGCATTTCTGTGGGCCGATGACCTCCTTAATGACCGGAGAGACCAGGATTCCCTCTGTTCTCCGGCTCTCTCACAATTAGACCTCATGTGACAGCAGCTTAGAGAGGGATTAACCAGGACCTGGGAGGACGGAGAGAGGGGGATAAATAAGAAAAAAAAAGGGGGTGAGAAGAAAAGTAGGAAAAGACAGGTGGGTTCAGTATTTAGGGTTCTTTGTATTGAGCAGGCGACATTTGAGTACACTTTCAAGATATTTAAGGGGCATTTTGTTTGCAACACTTGTGCGGAAACAAACCCAACACAATATTTCACACGAGGACCCTCTTAAAAAGGGGCTCTCTCCATTAAACCTAGCTCAGATCTGGAACCATACAGGAGGCCTCACTAAGTAAAAACAAACATGGGCATACTTCTGTGGGTCTTATCTGTTACAACTGCAACCCTCAAAGCTCCCCTGCACCCTCCTTGTACCCAACCATGTACTGCAGTTTAAACCATCTCTCTCACATGCTCACTCTGTCCCTCCTTCCCTCCCACGTTTTGCTTCAACTCTCCAGCTGGGATTTCTTTCTGGCCAGCTGTAATTCTACATCTATCAGGATAGCGTCACATTATTTCTGTATGTTTGTATAAAAAGTATCAAATGCCAGGAGGTCTAGAAATGACAAATTTCAGACTTTTCGATACTAATACTTTGAATATCAAAACTTAAAAGTATTATATGATAAAACTAATAAACTAATGCACACTTTTTCTCCTAAAATGATTTAATGAATCGAACCATATCTTTTATCTTTCTGGAGCTTCATCTCAGTGATCAAATCAAGCCCTTTTAGCATGACCTGTACTATAATGAATACTGCTCCTAAGCTCCCTCAGTCCTGCAAACCTTTTTAACTCTTTCCTCATAGCACTTTCCTTATGCATCCACTTCATCCTTCATGGGGCGATAAGGATGATTCAGGCCTGCTGTCTCTCTATTCCTCTCCCACACTCAAATCCTGACCCTTTTACCTCCTCTCCCACTCCAAGCGTTACTGCTCAGCAACAAGTGAACGAGCTTTGACATGATCAACGTCTTTAAATCAGAGATACTAATGATGTGATGGTTCATAGTAATTTCTACCAAGTTTCTTAGAGTTTCATTTATTTTGTTTTTGTCAAAATGAAATTTAGTGGGCTACGGGTTCACTTTCTGTGTGTGTGTGTGTG